GGTGGTTTACAGATTTAATGTGGTTTACATTTATCAACAATAATTAGATAATTTTCAATGCTTTTGATTGAAACACAGGAACCAGCTTGATAACGAGTTGGGATCATATGAGGAAATCGGCTTTGAGGAGTTCCTCATGGTCATGTCCCACTTCCGTCCTCTAAGTATTAAAACGTCCGAGGAGGAGAGGACGGCAATGAGAAGACAGAAAGTTCGCTGTGAGTAAAACATTTTTACTGCAACACAAACCTGGCCTGCTCACAAAACCAGGCCAGAAGTACAACACGACACATGTAAGTGTGTGAATGAGCAGAGGATCTGTAACCGCATGTCAGCTGTTGCCTCCAAGCAGCTCGAAGGTATTTCTGGCTCAACATGTGAATGTGGCCACAGCAAACTAACAAATCTAAATGTCACAAAGACAAATGCATGACCTGGAGGCAAACAGTTGGTAATTATTTTCAGCTAACTATATCTTTATCTCTTTTAAGATACATTTTTTCCACATATCCCTGTCCCTTTAATTTCTTATGTATTTTTACTACCAATATCCTGCCATAATATTGTGCATTTCCTGGTGTTTAATTGCCATACAAACTATGAAACTTTTTAGATAATGGAAAAATGTGGTTTATTGTGATGTCTGCAAACTGAAACCTGACAGAATGGTTGGAATTGTCCTTTTTGCTGCTTGAACTATTTTTCCCACTCTAAGCAAACTGCTATACAGTGAAAGACTATTTGTTAATTACAGTTTCTGATTTATGCAGTGAGAGACTTGCTCTGATTCTGCAACTCACTTTTTGTTGCTCGAGATAAATCAATAAATAGTTAAATCTGGTTTATTCAAAGAGAACGATTCAAAAAACTATTGGTAGTAATATTTCAACTTATTTTCTGAGTAGTCTTTACTTTATTATGTCTAGCTGTGCTTCAGCTCAGTTTGTTGTGCTCCAGATTGGCAGGTTAATCTCAGTGAGAAGAGGAAATCCTGCATGCTTTTGCATTCTGACTTGCAGCTCTTCCTGAATGTCTACATCTGTTTTTTTAACATATGCACCACAGACATAAACATCTCTAGAGAAAAATGATCAAATCATGAATCAGATCTTTACTTCCTTCAGCAAAATGCAAAGCAAGGCTCACATTTTGGTGATAAATAGCAAGACATCCCATTGGAAAATATTGTGAATGATGTTTTATGATTTAATTCGTCATGAACATATTGCAAGAAAGAAAATTTAAAGTACTCATTTAATGTTTTTTTTTATCTTCTCTCAGTGCAGAAATGGAAAAAAAAGGTTTTGAATATCCAGAAATTGTAAAATAAAAAAAAATAAAAAAAGGAGAAATTTACAACTTGTTTGTATTTCTGGCATTTAATTATTTATGTCCACTTAAGCATTTCCTAAGTAGCATTCAGCTGCCTCCAGCTTTTTCCAACCAGTAAGAAGCAGCTCTTAGTTAGTGGCTGTGACTGAGTAAGATGCATTGCATCACTTCCTGTTGCACTCTATGACACTGTTTGTGTTTGAGAAATTGCATAGTTGTGAGATTGATGGAAATTGAGGAGGAATTTAAAAAAAAAATTAAAAAAAATCTGAAAAATGTAGGGCTTGATTTAATTCAACCACTTTTCCTCTGGTACCTTTAAATATAGTGCAACCGTCACCTAAGTAATCATAGAACCAGCCATGAGACCCATAGTAACTTTGGGGGAGTTGCAGAGATCCACAGCTCATGTAGGATAATTTATTGACAGGATGTTTATCAATTCTGTGCATTACATTGTTGAAAAAAAGCGTTATGTAAAACATTGGGTAGAAAACCAGCTTTACATCACCTTGAACACACCATCCCCTCAGTAAATGGTTGCAACATCATGATGTGGCCACATTTGTCTGGAGAAAGGACAGCTTCTCACAGATGATGAATGAGGGACCTCAGGACCTGACCGCCCTGGAAAAAACCCAGTTAAAGGCTGTGAAGGGTTTGAGACTGGGGTGGATGTTCACCTGGCAGCAGGACAACAACCCTAAACATAAAAACAAGAGTTACACTGGGATGGTTAAACCTAGACTTAAAACCACTTAAACATCTGTGTCAAGACTTAGCAATTTATATTCACAGACTCCATGCAATGTGACGGAGATTAATGTATTTTCTAAAGAATTAGCAAAAATGACTGCCTTTAAGTGAGCCAAGCCGATGGAGAAATATCACAAAACACTGAAAGCTGAAACTCGCATGTTTTTTTTTTTTTTTTGTAAATTTCTTGCTTCCATTTACAAACTAATTTCATCACATAAATTCTCATAGCCCATAGCAGTTGATACTTACAGTATAAGGTGACAAAATATGAAAAGGTTCAAGTATATAGTTAAACAATTTGCAAGGCACTCTAGGTACCAAAACCTATAATATGTAAGATAATATTTCTTTAAAAGTTGGTGTGATGAGAAAATGACAAAAACAAAGTCACTACCTGAAAAAAATAAAAGTATTCCTACCTGTAAGTACAGCAAGAACTAAAAACCTGTTTATTGGCAAACATATTTTCAGACCAGAGTTTCCTAGTTTGAACAAAGAATGTCTTTCCTCAAACTTGAGAAGTGAACTCAATATTTGACAAGAGGATTACAGACTCCACCCTACACTCCTGTTTCAACCAGATGATAGAAATGTAAGATAAGAACTCAAAAGCAACGAACTTTCTGGTGTCTGAAGAGTCCAATTGTTTTTTTCTCCCAAGTAAAAAAGACATCTTTGTTTAGTCTAAACAGACTAAACACTTTTTTATCAGTCATATGAACTCTGCATTTTGGTTTTTGTTGGAGCAGAAGTTTTATTTCTATCCGTCTGAATCAAACAATTCTACATCTCGATCTTTAAAAGGAGCCAGATGTCTTTGAGATGTGAAAGAACCATTGGAGCAATCAAACTGTTGTAACTTAAAGAGGAGAACAAAAAGGTTTTCTGGGCATTGCAGTGTCAGTCGTAATCCTGGCTTGAAGGATCTGCTTCATTATCTTATCCCTGAAACATCATGACAGGCCCTGTAATCACAACTTCCTCTGGTGCAATCCCATAATTTGTGGGTAGAAATTTCTTAAGAAATCTAATTGTTTTGTTTTTCCAGTCCTGTTCAACATGCACGACACCGACGGTGATGGCAAAATTACTCTGGAGGAGTACAGAAAGGTAGGTGCTCATTATGTGCTTTATTTAACACTGATTACATTAATCCTTGTTTTGAAATATGGTTCCATGTTCCAGATACCCATTATGGACACTCAGCTTTACTTAGAATAAACATGGCCGCATGCAGATCAGTAAAACATCTCCACTGTTATCAAATTGGAAATTAATTCAATTAAAGCTAAGCTAACTCTTGTCAGTAAAATGACAGTTTTCTCCAACAAAAGGTAACCTTGAGTCCAAAGCTCTTAAGATAAGAAAATTTGATTTCTGTCCCATTTGATGCATGGCATATTTTTCTTTGTCATAATAATTTTTAATGCATCTGAACTAGATTGAGGTCAAATACGATGAAAGGAAACACTAAAACATGCACATAGCACTGGACGTCAATTCAATTATACGTTTTCCAATTGATCATTTTGCCAAGGTTAAATTATTGTGGATATAATGAATTGCTCCATGTTGTCTTGCTTTAGCAGCTACAAGATGAATCAGTGTGTGCACACTCCCATTGTCAAAAGTAGTGAGTAATTAGCTCCAACAGACCAGGTTAAAATCTGCAGGATTAGGGACCATTAAAGGATTGAGGTCACTTAGTGACCGATATCACAATAAGTTATAAAAAGAATAGAAAGGAAGACATTTTTCCTTTACATTTAGGTAAACCGATCAAGACATGAATTGCCACAGAGTGTGAAAGACAGTATGCAAAGTTAAAAGCAGCACTAGCTCAATTAATGCTTTTGGGAAAGAAAACAACTGAGCACAAAAATGCTGGATGAGTATCTTCCATCAGAGAGAAAACCAAATAGTTCACATTATGACAGAAGCAGCTCTTTTGATGATTCTGTCTGAAAACTTTTCAAAGAGTCAGAATTCAGAGAGGGAAAAAAAAAGAATTATGTTTCGTTTCTTTTCCAGTTGCCATTATCCTCTTCCACAGTTTCAACTTTTTCAGTGAGGATTTAAAGTCTTCATTTTCTGTTTACATCCAAGGCTGTCGAGGAACTTCTTTCGGAAAGCGGGACCATCGGGCAGGAGGGTGCTAGGGCGATAGCAGATGCTGCCATGCTGGAGGTGGCGAGCACAAATGTGCCCAACATGGTAAGAGAAGTCACCAAAACCACGCCGCTAATATTCCTCCCTCACTGTTGGACCAATAAGATAACAGATTCCTGTTGCTCTAGGGCCCGGATGACTTCTACGAAGGAATTACGTTTGAACATTTTGAAGAGGTTAGCACTTTTTTCTCGCTTTGTTAAATACACAAATACATTTTGTGGCTTCATGACAGCATTTTGCTTGTCCACAGATTCTAAAGGACCTTGAAATGGAGTCCAGGATGCATGTTCGCTTTCTGGATATGAACACTGCTAACCTGCGTTGTGGAAAATAATTGTTGGTCTAAGGAACTCTTTATGTTGCTGCTGTTGTTAGCAGAACCTCCCCGGTCCTTAAAAGGGAAAAAGCAAAACGCTTTTTCAAGCACTAACATGTTTTCAATATAAAAAAGTGTGTGAGATTCTCAAAACTGCAAGTCATTTGTGAACTTAATGTTTGATAACAGAAAGCCCTTTTAGTGCTGTATGTTAGCATTTAGAGCAGTTTAGATATTTTAAACTTTTCTTAGTTTTATTGCATTTAGTTATATTTACTATGACCTCACACTGTTGCTTTGAAAATTGCTAATGTGCAACATGAAAGATTTTTACCTTGAAACAAAAGTGTGTTACAGGTGATCTACTGTGCTGAGCATTTGGACAAAAAGACAATTCCTCCTCAGAAATCAGGATTTGATGATGTTTTTACTACTGAAGCTGTACATAATAAACCACTACTGTTATAAAAGAATAAAAACAACACTATTTTTGATTATTACTGAAATTATTTATTTTCCCCTCATTTCAAAAGAAAGAATTTTAAATAAAAATGGAAAATAAATGTCTGGACTTTTCTCTTCTTTTCCCCCTGAAAAATCGCAAAACATGACAATTTTTGTGGATAAATTCTACACCGTGTCTGATCTAAAAAGTCAAACATTAAAACAAATCAATGCACAGCAATGTTTATCAAGGTGGCAATCTTGCAGCAGACGAGCCGTTTGCATCCTAATAAAAGCACCAAAATGGTAGTAAAAGGTAACTAAAAATGATCAGTGTGACAGTCAGACAGATCAATGTGTCTCTTGTCCATTCTGCTCCACAGACAGTATTTTGTTTGCAGCGGTCAGTGAGACGGATGGGAGCCAGACAGCCTGTCGTAGGGCACCGCCAGGTTAATGTTGTAGTTGTAGCCGGATGAGTCGATGTAGTCGGACCTGCAGATGGGCAAGATGTGATCCTGTGACAGGGCATCCTCAGAGAAGTCGTAATGGCTGATGACTCCTCTGTGTCTGAAATGGACAGAACCAACAACAATTACAGCTTTACAGACTTTTATTTAAGAACTGAAAATTAGACATGTCAGAAAGATTAAATTTCATAAGTGTGAAGGATTTTTTAACTTTTTTCAGGAAGGGATAAGATTTCATTGATGCAATAAGCCAGAATACAGTGCAACTTCTTATTTTTGTTGTCTGTATGCTAATGATCAATACACATATGACTGAAAGCTCATTCAGTTCACTTCAATTCAGACACACTTTATTAATCCCAGAGGAAAATTAGATATCAACCATCTAGAAGTAGCGGTAATCAAATAAGAATATAGATTTTTTTTTTTTAATTTGATTTGCAAAAGCAGAGAAGCGGAAAATTCCTATTATCCAAACTATTTTTGACATGTTTTAAGAGGAGTAAGAGGATGTTTAAAGGATGTCAAGCTTAAAGTCATTTTAATAGGTGTAGAAGAGAAGAAGGTGACCTGCGATGAGCTGTGAGGTCATCATCTGTGATGCAGGCCCCACGTGGCGACTTGTCATCGGGGATGTTGGCTGTTACCAGGGTGCTGGTGTTAAAGCGAACATGCCTTACAGGATGCCTTCCACAAAAACAGACAATTATACAACATGACAAACGCTAAAAAGAGCAGGTGGTACAACCACAAGGAGGAAAACTTACTGCAAAGCTTTAGTTGGATCTTCTAAAGTCCTACCTGTTGTGCATCTCCCACAGCTTAGTTCCCATCCTCATCTCCCAAACACACACCAGTCCTTCGTCTCCACCGCTCACGATCTTCCAGTCGTCTGCCTGCACTGAGGTGACACCCAGGTGGTGGGCGTACAGGGATACCAGAGAGGAGCTGGACCTGAGGTCAAACACTCTCACTCTACGTCATAACAGAAAGGGAATGATTCTGCTTTAAGCTTGGGTTGTTTTCTTTAGCAAGAGCAGCACATGAGCTTTTCTGTACGTTGTGTGCTTCCTTTGGAGGCAAGCACACAATGTGCAATCTGCATCATGGTATAGGTCGTGTTGTATGGAAGAGGAGAGCAAATAAATTAACTCAATCTGTTGGTCTTACAAGTTGACTAATTATCTGAGTGAGATTTGTTGTGACTTTGTTCCATCTTCTTCTGATAAAACAAACAGGAAAGTCAAAAACTATTCTAAACAGGAACAGAAACAATGAGCACTCTTACTTTTTCTGCTGCGTAAGGATGACATTGTGAAAGTTAATAGTCCCACCCACCTACAATAGTCTCACCATTAAAAACATATTTTATCCCGCGATTATATTTGTTTTTTCTCCAAAAGACTTGCATCCAATCATGATGAAACCCTTATAGCTTTTTTTTTTATTTCAGAAAAGGAATACCTACACCAATAAAAATGTAAAATAGTCTAACCAACAAAGTTAAAGAAACATAGAAAGGCTTAAGCATAAGTAATGCAGAAAATGCCAAGCCAACAAAAATCTGGGCCAGATCACACCATACTAACAAAAACAACAGCTGGACATTTGAGCTCCTGATCGTAGTGTTTAAAAAATAAGGAAGAAATTGTAATACATGTTGATGTTTGTTATTAAAGTTATTTCTATTGGAAGAAAATGTGCTAAAACAATATAGTGCAAGATTATGATTAAAATAATTATGATTATGGATTTTAAAGTGCTGCTTTCTCTGATGGATTTAATGCAATAAGAGGAGGATTTTTGCTCAGTGTGTTTCATTAGCAACAAAAGCCCAGGGGACGTTCAGCTCCATCTGTTGTCGGCGTGGCTTTATTGCAGCTGAAAGCATCCAGGACATGACTCCATCCAGGATCAACCTTCTTCCAAGTCTTCATTACCATAATCAAATTTACTCTGGGGACACAGGCAGATTTCATTTTCCACTATCAAAACTTTTCTTTTTTTTTAAAGAATCAAAGTTAAATGGCTAAATGGGCACCGCGGACTTGTTTGTCTTCAGCTCGTTGCCTGTTTAGTGGCATTACGTGATGGAGGCGCACGTTTAAACAATGAGGAATGAACATTACTGGCAGACCACAGGAAGCCATAAACCTAATGCTGGAGGCGACTGTCTTTGCTGAACTGTCACTGGCCAGAATCGTTTTCATTAATCACGAAGAAAGTGTGAGAGAGGCACAGACCACTCCTGAACAGTTATTTTTCTAAAGCCAGAAGAAGTCATTAATCATCCCAGGCATGACGTCCGATTTAGTCTAATGATCTGGAGTTCACAATCTTCCACATGAACGATGTTTACTAAATTTCAAGTCAAAATGGAGACAGAGACTATCGCATACACTGTAGCACATCAAAGCAACAAATCTAGTGTTTAAGAATGCTATAAAACCTCCTTTAATGACCGACAGAGCTTAGTTTTAAAGGTTCAAGTCTGAAAACTTATGGGTCACATCATGTTCAAGTTATTCTAACAAATGCACTTTTCATCTCCTCATGCGAGACAAAAATCTTTTTATTGAAGCGAACTGTGTTGTTTTTAGAGTTAAGTGTGCATGAATAATTTACAGAAACAACAGAGAAAAGACTCTGACAAATTCACATTTAAAAAAAATTCTGTTCTGGTGGACGTCCATTTGAAACATAACCAAAAAACTCCACAACCGTCTGCCTTTATAGCAAAACTTATAGTAGCAATGATAACAGAGACTAGAAATGATTTCCCTCTCACAATGCCTGGACTCTGTTTTACTTCGGTAAAGGTGTATGTAATTTTTGGATAGACATAAAAGTATTTTCAGATTCATAAGGATATTGAAATACATTTGTATGTGTTAAAAAAAAATCATTTAAAGAAAGACCAAAACATAAATTCTTAAAGCATAGCTAACAAAATCGCTCTACATTAAACTGGACAGCTTTTCGCTCCTCATGTTGTTTTTTCAGAAAAAATCTATTTGAGCAGTGACTTTAATTTTTTTATTGATCTAAAATGTTTTCACAGTGTGAAATTGTGTTTTAATGTTGATAATTGGACACTCCTCCAGGATTTAATTGTGATAGACTAAATAAAGGTCAGGTGGTTTAAACATGTAGCAGGGAACATGTAGACTGCATTAAAAAAAAAAGTTTCCTAACCTAAATCTGCACTTTCAAATATTGTAAAAAATGTTTGGATGTGAAAAACGCAAAATGCTGTTTGCTTTTAAAGTCCTTGTCAGTCTGTACCTAAATCCTTTGGTTATGATACAGAGATGATGTTAGTCTTAGGATATTTTGTACCAACCGTTTGCAGTTTGTTAACGGGTATGAAAAGAAGGTAAACACCAACGTGTATGAGAATAGGCAAAGCAGCAAACTGACCTGGAGATATTTGGTTAAATATCAGTTGGTGAAATAATCAGATAAAGAGCTGAGTACACATGTATGAAATGATTTGCCTGTGAGTATGAAATGGAAGTAAGAAGGGATGAAATGGCAATGTGTTGGTGTGAACTGGCAAAGGGGTTAATGATCTGGAGCTATTTGGTTTATGTGTTCTTGGTACCAAATGTCTTATTCTGAGAAAAAAAAGAAAAAAAGAAAACTGCTTAAACACCCTAAATCAACTGCAAAACAAGTCACCTGCTTACAAAAGGACTGTTTGATATAAACATTTGAGTTTTACATTGTTGAAATCTATAAAGATTTTATGGAAACTGAGTAAAATGATCATAGTGCGAAGCAAAGTGATCACCTAAACTGTTTTGTTTTGTACCGTTAATGTCGGCAGAACAAAGCGTTCTGCAGAACGGGCACCCATTAGCTAACAACCTCACACTTTTCTGTTTTCTCTTTATTTCCTGCTCAGACTTGTCTTGTTTGCACAGATGTGTTCTTTTTTCCACACAGGCCTTATCTGGACACTTCATTTGGTGCTTGGATCTCACAGAAAAATGCAGAGTGACAAAACTCATCTGGACAAAAAGAAGGGATGCATTAGGCTTTGGCTTGATGCCACCCTGACAAAGGGCCAAGAACGCCGACTGTCCGTCAGTCTCCACCGTTCCCATTTGTCCTCGACTCTGTGCTGCATCGGCTGAAGCCAAAGTGGCAGAGCCAAGCTAGAGTTGTTTTTTCCCCCTATCTGGATGAAATCTGATCAAAAACCAAAGACCAAGAGTGAAGCCACTCACAAAACAAACGGAACTATTTCTTTGTCTTTGTGCAGGTGCTGTTAATCATAACTAGCAGGAATGGGAGAAACAGAACCTGAACAGTATGATGTGGTCTCTCCTTCGCTTTAAGCCAACTACTTAACAGCCAGATGGGTTTGGGGCTGAATAGAAACAGCAGGGGCAGCTTTGGATGAAGACATGCCAGGGATTTCTCCTTTCCTGGCATCCTACGCACCACGGCACCCTCTAACAAGTGCAGAATAGATGAGAATGGATCTTTTATGCGTCTTTTCTTTAACAGGCGAGCCAAATGTGGCAAGCATGTGCACATTAGTGTGTGTGTTGTTGCTGCTGCTGCTGGATGAAGTCATTACAGCCAGAAATCCTCGTCTCTTAACATCTAGTAGGTAATGGAGAAGACAAAGAGCAAAATATCACTCCTGTGAGTGTATTTCAATGCATTCCTTTTTCTCAATAAGCTTTCAGAAGCTTCTTTTTTCAAAGAAACAGATAGTCTTGAATAATGCACAAATATAATAGAGTTATTGTCTTCTCACACATTTTGCAAACACCTGTTCTCTACTTCCAGAATATTCTGCTAGGCCTCCATCATCAAACATTGGTCTATGTCCCTAGTTCAGTTTTTGTTTTCCACTGGTGCATTATGTTTGTGCATTCTCTATGTGCACTTGTGAGTGTTTTTGTGTCCTACCTTCTGTCTTTGTTTCCACACACCAGCAGATGAGGGGGGCTGTCTCTCAGGTTGACACAAGTGAAATCTCCCGGCGAGCTGCCGACACAAACCGTTGGTTTCCCGGTCTCCAGGCTGTAGACATGGATCTGAAATCCAGGATCAAACATCAGTCGACCGAGGAAATCCGTTCATTTCAGAGCCGATACGATACCAGAATTTTGTAATACTGCCATAATTTTAAATACAAAGGAAAAACTTCAACAAAAATGCAGACAGTAACAAATATTATGCTTAAAACGATCTATTCTGTTAGTGTAAATGTCGGTAGATGTAATAGAAACCTGTAGAATAAATTACTCTACATACTGCAATATTTTATATTTAAGAGTGTATATCAGGCTGCATGAAATATTCCATGTAAATCCACACTTTTAGTACATAGCGATGTAAAAGTCCAATCCTAAATAGTTACTATTCATTTCTTAAACATAATTTTCCACAAATAAAAGAAAATGTATCCTTACACATTTAAAAGTTTTTTATGTTTTTTTTTCTCTATTTAAAACCTAAAAAGTCAGGTGAACATTTTGTTCTTCAAAAAAGACTGCAAATTTACAACACTAAAAATAACAAGCTTTCTTTTTTTTTTTTTACAAGATCATGAAACATTTGCTGCTTTAAACAAGTTTATTTAGCTGGCCAGAGAGCAAAAATGAGTCTTTGGACTGCGAGGGTTGCAGAGCCGTGGCGCCGTCTGAAGCTTGGGCGCCGTTGCCTCCTGAACAGGACAGTGATGCTAAACAGACCTTCGATAAGGTCTGGTTTCAGAGGAAGTCCTGGACAACTTGTCAAGGCTTTTCCCACGAGGAGTGGGATAAAAGTCCTTAGTAACAGTCTCAGAAGTCGGTGTCTGATTGTCCACTATGCCTGGAGTAAATCATAGCAGCAAAAGTGTGCGCTGCAAAGCACTAAAGATGCATGTCATAAAGGGGTTGAGAAATTACTGATAGTCGTTAAAGGTGGTATTTGGGGTTCAATTTGGACAACCCATTTGAATTCAAACTTACATATGTTTCCAAAACAGCTGCTAGTTTGTGACTTTTACCAACGAACAAAATTTACAGTGGGGGATGATTATTATATATTAAACTAAACTGAAATTAACAATAAGAAAGAAGTACTTTTTAATATTTTACCGCTTCCCGTAGGCAGACAAAAATCTTTCAGTTCACAAAAAAGGGTGCGTTAAACTTGCAAAACTGATGATAAAACTAATAACATTGGATATCAGCCAATGAAGGTGCAGTCGTATAGGAAAAAGCCTTGTTTGTAAAGTAAAAGCACAGAAGGACTTAAGTAGATTAACTAGAGAGAAACTTAAAGGCAAACCTGAATTACTGTCTTCTACAGCTTGATGGCTGCAATGAACTCTTCACAGAAGTTTCAATGATGTCATCTGGTGCTGGCCTAATTGATCAATTAGCAGCTGGTGTTTTCTCATCCAAACCAGACAGAACAAGCGGGTTAACCGCCAGGCAGAACTGTCTTTGGATAATTAAACTGAGCAAAAAGGAAAACAGAGGAGAAAAATGGAAAGAGCTCGAGCCAAAAGGTAAAAGCAAAGAAAAGCAGAAACAGACAGCAGAAAAGGAAGACAGTTGAAGAAGAAGAAAAAAAAAAAAAAAAAATATATATATATATATATATATATATATATATAAAAAAAAGAGGAAGGGGGAAGGCAGGGTATAAACCTTCAGAAGGTGCCAGGAGTTTTTGTGTGTCCCCATATTTGGGCCAAGCGGAGCTTTAATTGTGCTCCACCCCAGGGCAGAGCCCAAACCACACTGGACTTCAAAATGACAGCTTGATAGGATTTGGACAGCTCAGGAGACTGGAACGCAGAAATGAGGTTCAGCCTGCTGTTCTCAATGAATCACCGCAGAATTAGGAAGATAATTTTATTAAATACGTCCCCACCTCAGCCACTAAAATGAAGAACTGTCACTGAGAGAGGATAAGCAGCTGATTTGTGATAGTACTGGGGGCTGTTCAAAGACCAGGAAGAATATTAGTAAGCACGGATACAGTGCCGTGGTTCGGCTAATGCTCTCTCTGGTGCTCGGCTATTGAAGCTTGCAGACAAAAGAAAGTCTGAATTACACTGTGATGTTAATGTGATTACTCTGCATGCTTTTAAACAGATGACATTTATAAAATCACTGCTGCTCCTCAGAGAAATCCTTTCATGTTGCTATTGCGACTATCTCGGAACTCATAAGGCTTAACTGCAGCAGTTACTCTTATTATTGAGCAGAAAGGAGAAATTATGAGTTGTGTTGGACCAGGTGTGTGCATATTTTTGCCTCCATAAAAGAATTCAGCAGCGGCCTCCATATTCAGACCTAATCAAGGAAGGGATACACTTGTACAATAGCCTGCTGAGTAAAAAAGCTGAACCACTGCTTCCCCTCTATGCAATGCTACATTAAATCTTATACAAACACCCACATCTGGAACAAATATGGGCTCAGGGCCTCATTTGGTTTAGACACCATGTGGACAAACAGAGATTAGCCCACTGGACCAGATGCAATATTATGCATAGAGTTTGTGCTTTCACATTATTTGGTACTTCCAACACAACATAATGGGCGGGCACTGCAAATCATGCAAACCACCCCCGACCCCCAAACTAACAAAAAAAAAAAAATTATGCAGCTACTTATGGAGATTAACTCATAAAATTTGTATGAAGTTAATTTTGGATTCTTCACTGAAAATACAAGTAATTTAGTGCAACAATTAACCCCTAAGGAGTATTTCTGTGGCATTGCTTAACATGTTTTGGGTTGGTCTGGAGATAGAAAGCTAATTAACTAATTAAGTTAGAGAATGACAGACAGATTATACCCTAAATCCAGCCCTCATTCCAACCCTGCTTCCAATTCTCCTTCCCACTCTAATTCCAACTGTCCTTCCAATCTTCACATTAAGTAAAGTTTCTTGGTGTCCCTGGATGGGTACTGTAGTCCAACACCATCAGAAATGGGTTAGGCATTTGTCATGCAGCGGTGATCTTCATTAGTGCAGACAGTGCACCTGCACAGTGCAGCGTAAGACTGAGTAATGTTAATGTCATTACCACATTACTTCTACCTTTAAGTAGCACTTCCATGCAAAACATTTGAATTGTCTCAGATTTGTGACGTTCAAGTCGCAATATATTTCAACATTTCAAATGTCTGGCTTAGCATATTGATTAAATTAATGCTGCTATAGCATTAGATACAGTTTCAGTTTTATCTTTGTGTTGTTTTTTGTAACTTAGGGCAAGTGTCATACAACAGTAAAATGAAAGAAAGACACTCTAGTTTGATGGGGAAAATCACTAATCAACAAGTGAAATACAGAAAAGTTTAGATATTTTTTATTGAAAAGCATCAAAACGAACTTGAGTCTTATTTGATGCATAAAGAAAAATAACGTTCTTTCATATACTTTTTAAAAATATATCTTTGTTCTTTCCGGATGAATTCAAAACTACTCCTCCTGTCGAGGAACCTGCAGCACATTTGTACTATGACAGAGGAAAAGCTATAAGCAGGTCAAGTAGCTAGGTCAGGGAGCAGTATATAGCAAAATCTGCAAACAGAAACTGTTAAATTAAGAAGTTACCGGTATTAAGTTATGCTGGAGATGGCTGCAGTTTAAAACCCAAAATAACAATTTTACACTAATTTGCAACTACACAGCCTGGCCTCATTCCTGACTATCAATTAAGCTTGGTGGTGAAGGTGGCCAGCAAAATAACAGGCCTCCCACAGACCTCACTATCTGCTGTATCTGAGCAGCAGGTGGTGCCGAAAGCCAGAGCCATTGTGGGGAACCAGAACCATGCTCTGCACAGTGCACACACAGTTTGGAACACAAGGGGTGCAGGATGAAAAACTCAGTTGATCCCCATGTAGTACATTATTTTGGTAAATACAGGTGATTTTATTCCACTGTGGGATCCTAAAATATAAGACTTTTTAGTACTGATGTGATTTAAGTATTTTAATTTAACTCTCACTTGACAGACTGAGTTTGGGCAACAGATTAACTAATGCACTTTGTTAGTGACTGCAGGGATTTGCCTTGAAAGTCTCAGGTGGGTAGCATTCACTTTAGAATATTTTAGCTGATGCTTACCAGCATTGAAATTTACTGATTAGTTTATTTTAACATTAGTTACTGTGTGTATCAAACTGTAGTAGATTATTTTATGTTTTTGCATTTAAAGGTGAACTTTTGATCATACTGACTTTGTGTTCATTCAGATAACAAATCTGCTCCTTTGATCTTGTCTTCATAAAGAAACAACAGTTTTTCTGACAGCACTGAGGTAGAGCTTCTGTGGTAGATGAACTGTTTGCCAGTGTGAATGCCAGCTCGTGTTGAAAACCGAGCCATGAGCTGGGTGTGTGCCCAGGTGATGTTGGTCCACTGACAAGAGGAAGGCAAGGAGTAACAAGGATCTGGAGGCAAGCCTCAGCCACACACACACGGTCTCTACACACATGCCAGGACAAAGCAACACAGACAAGAAAGAGCGGCAGAAGCATCTACAGTTTGAACGGAGTTTTACTAATGCAACTGCATCCAAGTTAAAAAAAAAAAGAAAAGCACAAAGTCTGAATAAAGTTAACAAAACAGGTTAATGTCATTCGGTTCATCCGAGTCGAGACGCTGTAAATGGAAAAAGTGTCACTCTTGCGTGTGAAAAACGGTGTGAGATGATTTCCTCGGATATCAGCTCTGCGCATCTTGACAGGTTTTAATGAAGCATATGTCCTTTACTAAAGACAGTAAAAACGGTGGCAGCCAAATTGTGTTTTGTCATCTGTGCTGCAAGAAACAGCTGATAGAAGCGGAACAAGAGTGAAAGACTAGTTAATTAAATTTCCAAAAATTTGTTAATTAGCGAGAGCGTTCACTGATCATGAATTGGCATTATTTAGAGCTGAATTTTGGCCTGGATCTGATCTGAAAAAATTATTTTAGAAAGATTTAACAAACTTCTGATTGAATTAAAACCAAGTCAGTCTAAGATTAAATATTACATTTCACCTTGAAGATGATAAATTTTCTAACCTGATCATTTAAAGAAAAAAAAGTTTTGAAAGAGAAGCTTGATGCAGCGACAAATTGAATTCTAGAAATTAAAAAAAAATATGTAATTTCAAAACGATTTACAATTTTATGCCTCTTCAAATGAAGCTGGAGCTCCAGTGGTAACCCTTAGTTGTCCTATTTATTTTAGTCTTTTTATTTTTTCCAGGTCTTAGAAGGGGACTACTCACAAAAAGAGTGAGTAGTCCCCTTCTTTAGGATTGATCGCAATTACAAACATTAGTCACCTGGAAATTATTTAGATTTGGGATTCTATCACTGAGATTCATGCAGGATTTTTTAACTGAATCATTTTTTAATTTGCAGAAATAAACAGAGCTGTAGAGAGGACTCAAACAATAGACTGTTATTATAGTCAGACATCGGTGTTACACTCCTTTTGGTCCACTATGTGGTGCTTTAGGGCTGCAGCTGAATAAGTACATCCAGTTTTCCAGAAGCTATGATGTCACTGTAGCTGTTTTGCCAATAAAAATAAATAAATCCATCACAGACTCCAGCAAATATCTTCTTTCAAGATACCAATAAAAGCAAATTGTTCACTGTGCATTTTTTGAGTCTGTCTGCTTTTTAATTTATGTTGAAAAACAGCAATGGTATCATACCCTCAAGGGCTAAAATGGCCCAAGAGTAGTATCCCCCAAATGAGTATGTTGTCTCAAGGCTCTTTGTACTAAGTAAAGGTTTAAGAGTCAATTAGCCACACAAGGTCCTTGGAAACACAGTATTATTAGAAACAAACAAAAGCTGGCTAAGAAACAACACTTGATAAAAGTACACTTGAAGGCTGTAGTAATTAAGAGAAGCCTCTAGGGAAGGCTGGCTGTAACTTAGGAGAGTTATTTCAGATATAAACAAACCCCCCACAGGTTCATGATTGTTGAATCTAATGGGAAACGAGGTAATGGTGATTATGCCACTACGAGACTCAGGTTACATCTAGACGAACAAATGCTGGTTGTAAAAGTTCACAACAAAATCTGAGTTTGGATCTTTTACAGCATGTAATATGTACTCTGTGTTTCAAAGAGATTACACACCTTTTACCTATAAGGGCTTAATTCACTTACCAGGCAAAGGAAGATGGTCATTTAATTAAAACATTAGCATAATCCTGAAATTTCTGTCCCCTTTGCTTTTCTCTGCAGTGAATTGTATTTGTGAATAACAACCAGCATATTTCCATTTAACCAAACCAAATTGCAATTTACTTTGTTTCACGTCTCATTTTTTCATTACGCACCTGCAGAGAAAACGAGTGGCCTTGTTAACTCTAATGGAAACCTTTCATTGCAATTAGGGAGATCAAGGTAGCTTGCAGTCCTTTTTACAGCACGTCTAAACTCCAGATGCAGAGGGTTCAGGTTGCTTCATCCAGTTTGCCAACATTCACATTTACCCCTGGCAAAACCTTGACACAGCTCCATCTCTTCCATTAACACACAAATACTATATTGTCAGTTCATATAAATATTGTAGAGGTGTACGTAACATCCAGAATAACCATGAACAAATGTGATTTTGTTGCAGTATCTAGTGGATATGAATGCCTTTGATTTGACTTTTTATTGTTAAGAGCTGTATAGTCAAAACAACCTCTTAGTGAACACCTTAGAGTCACGAGAAATGCCTGTTGGTGTTTCTATCTGAGCTACTGAGCCACTCTTCTCACATCTGCCTTTTAGTAGCTACCAAAATCTGCAGGGTGAAATTGAACCCACCTTGTTGCCTCCATCGTGCATGGCCCAGCCGGTGCGCTTCACCCCAAAAGCAGTGAGGGTGTTGGAGGCATCCAGACAGGTTACAGGATGACCATAAACAGAGTGCAGGGTCCTTGGCTGCTCCTCCTGAGGGTTCAACAAGTAGACATCCTCTCCAGCCGCTAAAACCACTAGTGGGGACTGATCTGCCCGGTTTGGTACAAATGTCAGGCTCTCCACCTGCCATATATATGATAAAAGTACAATTCACAATAAAAAAAAATAAAAAATAAAAAAAATCAGCATCTGCGGAACATCGTCTTTCATTAACACACAACCAAAGTGTCCCACTCACTGTTTTGGGTAGCCGAGTCTCGCAGACAGTCCTCCAGTAGCCGCAGTCATTGGCGCTGTCGAGCCGAACGTATGACCCTGCGGCTGAGATCAGGACCGGACGGTCCGGGCTCAGACCCAAAGCCTGGATCCTCCCGGGTATCTGGTAGTGGTGGATGGGCTCCCCACCTGTTTCTGTACTCCACAGGTCTACACAGCCTAAGCCAGAAACACAACTTCTGACTAAAAATGTTTTGATTTCTATGTGCAAACAGTATTGTCGCTACGCCAAATGCTGAAAATGAGACATTGTGCATAAAGGTTTAATAGGCATCTAAATGTGTAGATAATGTTCAGCATTGTCATTATATTACATATAATTAACTTTTGTTCACAAATGTCTTATAGATTGCTGGTTTCCCAAATATGTTCATTACATTTTTTGCACAAAATCATTCTTAGATAATGAGATTTTAGTTTGGTCAGTTCTGCCTATTAAACACTTTTTTTCAGATTGAGCTGTTTTAGGGCCTCTCGTCACTTTAAAGTCAAATAAGCTGCTGCTGCCCACGACCCCCAACTCAACATTATACTCACATGCTGCAAAGAGATACAAAAATATACAACCATACATCTTTGAAAAGCAGAAGTAGAACCTCCTACACAACCAACAAGAATGCAGCAAGTGAATTATGAATGGTAAGTGAATAACCAAACCCTTGTCTTTTCCTGCAACCATTGTACTGCAGTGCTCATCTTCTAAGTGGGCGGAGCTTCGCTCCGGTTGCTAGGTGAGGGGCTCGGCTGGGGTTGACAGGTAACAGCGCAGACCCTGTCGATTGTGACTTAGCAATTGGATGGTTTTTGAAAATGCTCATTTTTCAGACACTAAAAAATTTTTTTCCTATTGCCAAAAAACAGCTGGATGGCACTTCAAGCACTTTGGCTGTTTTTTTTTTAGAAACTGTTGAAATCCAAATGGAAGTTNAAAANCATGCAAAATGTGAATTTTGCATAACAGACCTCCATTAAACAAACACCCACTTACCATCTTCATATGAAGCAGCGGCCACTGTGCTGTTGATCTGGACGTGACTAACGTGCGGTCTCGGGTGCGTGTTCGCTGAAAGACTGTTGGTCTTGAGGAACGAAGATGTTGAGTCCCAGTGCAACGTATCCCAAAGTCTCACATCACCAGACGTGTACCTTAAATATAACGCAACAGATGGGTTACTAGATATTACTTAAGTGTCTTTTAGGATTTAGAGTGCCGTTATACAACCAACATGTTTTGAATAAAAGAGGTCAGATTAGCTTTCAGTGGAATAAAAGACAAGTGGTTGCCTGGAGTACATTAAGGACTTGATGATAGTGTGCGATCATCCCCTCTCAGTTCTCCTCCATCTGCACACTTTTCTTTTGTTTGAGAAGAAATGTCTAACAAATGGAGCAGAGCAGCCCTCTGCTCTGAACTCCACACACCTCCTCTCCCATCTCTTTGCCCTGGCTGATTAGCTCTCACTGCAAGAGACGAGCATGCTGCCACCTTCACAGATTCAATCATGTCTCTGTGACTTGGAGCTGCAATGTGTCGTACAGTAACAGCCAGTTTGACACGGAGCGTATATGCGAGTAGCTCTCCGTGTGTGTGGGGGGGTGGATTTGCAGGGTTTGGCAGGAGCAGAAGCACACACTTTTTCCTTAATTGGTGCATCATCAAAATGCCAGCGATCGGCATGACGCGCATGCTGGATGTCGCCCAACAAACTTCTGCGGGGAGAAGTTTCTGCTCAGACTACAGTGGTATTTCTGCAGGCCTCAGCAGATCTGCGCTGTCTGAGACGGGTTAATGGCCACTGCTTCTCCTGTTGCTTTTAATTTTTTTTATTTTTTCAAAAAGCCAACTCCATTCCCACCGGTTTTCTGTCACCAATCAAATCAGTCTTGACTTGCTCTTAACTGCTATTGATTCTTTTTTAGACAAATTCAAATAGTTTCGTTTAGCTCAATTACTCTTTAAGTACCAATAATGAGGAATGTACTGACATCATGAATATGTTAGCAGCATGTGCATAAAGCTGAGGATTTAGCAGTGAGTTCACATTGCATCAGGCCACTTATTAAATGTCTTCAATGTTTCAGTACTGTGTGCCGCACATCTACTAATTTGAAACCACACAAACAGGCTGTTTTCTCTAAAGGGATCCAGCAGGACTAATGGGAATCTAGTAGCCTTCGTCCCAGGAGACACTGCAGATCTCCTTAAGGGCCTCCTATTGAGCCCTCCAGGTCCCTCACAATTTATCACTGCCTCATACTAGCTAGTTAAGGGCAGGTTTAGCTGATTAAGCTCCAATTCATGTCCTCTTTCCTCAATAAATGCAGTTGTTACTTGTGTTTTTTTGCAAAGAAGAGCAATAATGTGACTATGTGATTGTGAATTAATTGTTTTAATTAACAATTTCTGATCAGAACTTACTCTGTCAATGTAAAAATCCTTGTTCTTGCTGTCATTTGGTTTCATCAGAAGTCTGACATCTGGCTTTAATGTGTGGCTGAAGTCATAAAACTGCTGTTTAATTCTCAAGTCAGGTCCTGTGAAAGCCTTTGAATGTGCCTGTAAATTCAGCTACAATAATTATGTCAATCCGGCAAAACTACTTTTGATAAATGATGGCCAGTGTAGGCTGAGAACAGCACACAAAAGGTACAGTTTTTAAACATGCTACGACACGGTTGTCTAGTCATTACGACGTGACCCTTTTCAAAATCACTCTTGTTTTTCAATTATAACACAAAACAAAGCCTTCAATTGGATCCTAATATAGTTCCCCAACTAACAGGAAACATGATAAAAAGATAATCAGTGCAATTAATTTCAGTGGTCTGATCTGGATTCCTTTACTTTAACTGTTACGGGGTTAATAATGACACCGACATCATGTTTTGGAGCTACATGTCTGGCCAGAAGCATAAAATTATACTGAATTATACTGAATTAGGCTGTACTAGAATGAATTGCATTTAAATTAATTTGACCATTTTTCATTTAGAGTCATTTTCTTATCTAATGTATAAGTTTATATAGTTGAAATATAAATAAAATTAACTGAATGGCAGTCTAGTGAAATGCATGTTTTTCACAGGGCATTGTGTTACTATCATGTAATGAGCAGCTCATGGCAAAATAAGGACTTTAAAAATTTTTAAGTTAACCAAATACTATTTGTCAATTCTTACAAAATACATAAACTCCCTTAAACTTTGGAGAAATTGTGGGTGAAGTCTGCTCAGACAACCTGAGCTAGCCAATCAGAGGCGGCTGGGATTTAAGCAGCCGGTTTCTTTAGCTTCTATTCTGACAGAAAATAGTTAATTTAAATACTATCTTGGCACATGGGGACTTAAATCAACTTCAACTTATTTGTGTTTGTCAATAAGAAATACTTCATTTCATATAAAACATTGTGTATTTGGCCAATACCTCATTAGCATTCCAGTTGTTTGATGTTGTTGTTCAGCATAATACATTGTTTTCAGCTGTAAAGATAAATCCAAACTTCATCCCCTGATTTATAATTTCATCAATGTAAATGCAACATTTTGGCATTGGTTTAGACAGGGACACACAGCGTCTCCTACGTTCATTTAAACCGCCGGCATTAAATCACAAAAATCTATGACCAAGTTTTATTTAGTGCGACAGAGAAATCAATGCAGATGAAATGAGACCAAGTGAGCGCTGCTAAAACAAAGAGGACATCAGGCAGGATCTGCTCGTCCTTGAAACTCACCCGGCCAACACGAAGCTGTCACAGGAGCTGACGTCGCACAGAATTTTCCCCAACTCGAACTGCAGCTGGCTGACAGATCCCACTCGATTCTGAAGAGGTACAGATGCTGAGCTTAAAACTATTAACAATTTAATTAGTGTAGCAGACCAACACATGACTGTGAAGTGGAAGGAACATTTTGTACAAATTAAAAATCTGAAAAGTGTGGTGTGAATGTGCTTTCTGCTTTGCACATCTTAAGAATTAAATTTTTGGCTTTTCTTCTTTGTAAAAAAAAAAAAAACTCAAGCACAGTTACATTTTATACAAAGCATCAGTAAACTTCACATCAAAGTCTTGCTTCAGATTCTAGATTGTATTTAGATTTGGGCTTTGATTGGGCTAATCAAAGCCCACTAAACTATTCCATTGTAGCTCTGACAGCATGTTTATGGTCTCCTTTCTGCTGAGAAGTGATCATCCTTCATTCTCAAGTCTTTTGCATCCTCAGACAGGTTTGTTATTATTGCCATGCATTGCTCCATTCATCTTCCTATCAACGCCAACCATGACCCCAGGATGATGCTGCCACCACCATGTTTCACTGTGGACCTGATAGGCTTACGGCAAGTGTTAGTTTTCTACCACACCATGTCTTATGGGGTCAATATTATTAAGAATAGTGCTCTGTAAAATGTCCAAAGCTTAAGATATTGTTATTAAACAAATGCTGTTTTAAGTGCTCTCTTTATCCGTGATTTGTGGGGTACATTTGTGATGTTATCCATTCACTAACGATTGAAATGTTGAAAATAATGGTGATCCAACGTCACTATTTTTGGCCGCATGCCGTAGTAGTCAAGTTTCTATTTTGGAAATTATTTCAAAAATCATGCATCATTTTTATTCCACTGCTCTGGTAAGTTTCACTGTATGTTGATTTATCACATACAGTAAAACAAATCTGCAGTTGTAATGGGATGCAAGGAGATGCATTATGAATTTATTTCTCTTACCCACAAGTAAATCAAATGAGAACAGCACAGTTGACCTCTACAATCTGTGGTTACTGGCAATGAGATTTCTAAGTCATGTAAATATTGACAAATAAACACTGTGATCATGGTCTGCTGTCAATCACACGTTAGTTTTATTGTGTTATTTTGATAACACGACTTCATGCCACCTTCACCTCTCAGACAGTTTTAGTAATTTGATTAAAAAAAAAAAAAAACCTTCCCATTTCAGTGAAGTAGAACAGATCAAGCTCACCTTCCAGTTGGATCGGACAGTTCTGGCCGCGTTCCTGCAGTCTCGCAGGGTGCTCTTCCAACATGGGGAGCTGGACACGGAGGCACCCTGGTGGTAACCTTCCCTCTGGCACAACCTGAACCACAGAACGCCATCCTCCGCGAGGACTCTCCATGCCCTGCTCACCTGGGAGGAGATTGGACAACATGACAGTGGTTTGAGTCAGCATACATTAGGAGCTTGCATCACTCATTTCCGCTTAACGAGCCCGGCCGCCTGCCAAAACGGGCTCTCTGCACCACGAGTGCTGTGGATCTGCCACTCAATATCTAATTTACTAACATGCACAAAATAAAGTCATGAGCTGCCCAAAGCAATACAGAATGAAGAAGGTAAGTGTAATTAAAGTAACTAATCGCCAAATTATGGACGCTGCACAAAGAAACAATAAAACTAAAGTTATACATGGATTTTATTGACAGGACGTGATTTATAAGTCTCTTAAAAGAATGCTTGATCATCTCATCTGTTTTAATTTAATTAATAACATAATGTGAACCCTATAAAAAAAAGCATGCGGAGCAGGTCTACAGTTGGGGTCAGGACCCAACCATCCGAGCGTACGTGGTAAAACACCAGAAGTGAGAGCGGGAATAAAGTCCATTCGCTTTATTTCAGCTAGTTAACTTGTAGAGTGCAGCAACAGGTGGGGGCAGTGTGTCAGTCTATGAACAATAGCTTGGCATATCATTAAAATGGCCTTTTGAAATCAATTTTTAAGACAAAAAAGTGTTTTTTAATAGAATAATCTATGCATAAGACAATATAAAGGACTTTACATGATACGAATGGAAGACAAAAAGAAATACAGCATAAAAAAATCCAGTTAGATTGGTTGACCAGAAGTTGGTGTAAATGAAATTATTTCCAAAGTAAAGGAACTGGATAACCATGTTTTCATGGAGTTTGTTCCAAAGTCGAGGAGCACAGAAACTAAACTCTCCTAGTTTAGTTCTGGTGCTGGGAAGACTTAAGTGGTCTACATAGTTTATAACTGAAATTCAGCTATTAAATTCTCAGTAATTTTACACTGCCTACATTTATCCTACAAAAACCAAAAAGTAATTTTACCATTTGTATTGAACTTCTCATGGTTATCATTTCCTCTTCAAACAAGAATTTCAATCTGCATAAAATTGTGAAATATAGCAAAAGAAAACCAACTTTAAAGGATAAAGTAATTACTGTGAGGCAAGATAAACTTTCTCCCTCTACACTTCCCCAGCCTGGATTTTTTTCAAGCCAATAATTGACAATTTAAAGACAAAAGCCTCTTTAGAAGGAGCTGAAACATTGAGCTGTACACAGATTTTTTTATTTTATGTGTTTTTTTTTTTTTTGTCGTTTCTGCACCTCACCTGGGCACATCGGCCAAGCTCCATGCAGTTGAGGTACTGGAATATCTTCAAGGCTAATTCGTACGGCAATTCAATGTCAAAGAAGGGAATGTCGTTGACTTCATTCTGCAAAGAAAAGGGATTGATTACAGTACTAAACACAAGATATGCTGCTGTAAAAAGTTTTTACTACCCTGGAGATTTCTCCTGTCTTTGCTTTTTTGCTTCAAAAAAACTCAAGGTAATGGCGACACACTCTATCCTCCATCAGAAATCCTGGGCTTAGGTCGTGACCCTAAGCCCAGGAGCACTTGGGTTATAGCATGACAATAGTCTAAAGTACACCAGTAAGACCACCTCTGAATCACTAAAAACAAGGGATTTGGAGTGGCCAAGTGAAACTCTGGAATGACTGAAATATGGCAAAACATGGATGTTTGAAATGCTTCAATATGACTGAATTGAGACACCCCTGGGAAAAAAAAAAGATGCAGCCCATTCCTTCACATTGATGGGGAAAAAAACAATGACCATTATTGCAAATGCTTAATGCCACAACTAATGATTAAATTAACAAACCAATTATGTTTGCATGTCAGATCATTTATGTGCTCCATTTATTAACTGATTATCTGAAACACAAAAATCAAAGATAGACGAAACCTGTAGGGGGGAAACTACGTTTTCACACTGAATTTGTGCTCAACCAGTTTCTTCCACATCATACCAGATCCTGAATGAGTTGATCCACAAGCTCCTCTTCTTTCTTCACCTTCCTCTGAGGCTGCCTCTGCTGCTGCTGCTGCAGGGATACGCTGCACATGTTGGTCATGTTATCATACTGCCTCTTTCTCCTCGTTCTCTCCTCCTGAATCCTGTCCAGCAGGGGACTGGTCCTCCCATCCAACAGACTGCGTGCAATGGAGACATACTGAGGCTGATCTGCCTCTACAGCAAAGCTCCCACCACTAACACTTCCCTCGTCCTCAGTGCAGCTCGATTCCTCTTGTTTTAGAGTATCACAAGGTTTCTTTACGTCTTTCTGCTCGGGATGATCCCCGGAGGAGGAGGAAGAAGGAACACAGACGAGTCCAGTCTCTTCTTTTCTATTTTTTAACTCTTGTTTCCAGCGTTCCCTGAAGGCAACAAGCTCGTTCGCTGCCATGTCGTTCAAAAAGTATACATTTGAAGTTTTACAGAACAGGATATGTAATTTTAAGTTTAAGACTAGCCCATTACAGAGCAGCTGTTTTTGTCGGTATCTTGTGGAACCGACAAAAACAAAGTCGCTCTTCTCTAAAAGCAGACCGATGAGGGACAAAGCAGCACTATATTGGTTCCGCTAGTATTTAATTCCTTGTTTACCTCCTTTTTTCTCAGTGGTATATTTGGGGCTAAATTGTGTAAATAATAACATAACAATTTGTTCTGTGTGTGTGAGAGGTGGACGGAAAGTGTGATTAGCGAAGGCGTAATTTGTACATCAGAGAAAAAGAGCGTAACGTCCAGTCTCCTTAAACAAAAGACTCTTCAGATGAACCCAAACACCAGAGATCTGAGTGTTAAGCGCTGCATCTTTCTCTTGGAAGAAGATGATGTAAACCCTAAACACCATGTGACACGGTAATGAATAATACAGCAGCGAGAGGTGGGGAGAGCCTGGGGATCGCAAACACAGTTAAGGATTGATGAGGGAACAGGAGGAGGGTTCATATATCCTTCCCAGATTTAAAGAGAAGAGGGGGACGGCGCGGAGGCTCAGTCAGAGGAGAAGATGTGCTGGCTTCCGATAGACCAGCCTCTGCTGCGGCCGGGAGACTCCAGCTGCAGCGCATCGCGCCGACGCTCCTCTGCTTGCTCCGTAGCTCAGCTGCTCGCGTCGCGGCTACGGAGGATCGGGGACCAGCTCGAGAAGAGTTGGACAGCCGGGGAGACAACCGGCGACCTCGGCTGCGGAGACAGAGTGACGGTGGCAGCAGTGACCGGGCGCGGCCACTTCAAAGGCTTCCTGTGCCTCGCGGTGCAAGTCACCTTGCTCGTGCTGCTCAGCGCGAGGCGACACCTGTAGGGCGCGTGGTTGCGACTTCCGCAACAGGTGAGATAACATCAGTGTCTATGAATCTTTAAAAGGTAACCTGTTTTTTTTTTTTTTTCTCTCAGGCTGCAGCCCCTTTAGACAGCTGATCCCATTGATTCTTCTTGTTTTTATGCATTGTGTAGACAATGGAATAAAAAAATGAATGAAACAAGTCCCAGCTTTTAAAGACAAAGCTACATTTTTAAGCACAAAATACCATCTTTGTTCTAAAATCCAGATATTTGGTTCGATTTTTCAAAAGAAAGAGGGGAAGCAAATAATTAAATAGCTGCTGATTGCCCAATAACTACTAGTTGCATTGACATGTTTGCCTTTTGGGACATACTTTTTTTTTAATTAATGTGTTTTATGTGGATACATTTCTCCCACTGTAGACTGGTGCCTTTAAAAAAAAAATCACGTGCGGAACAGCAAATGGGCTTACATCATTTGCACTTAAAGCAAGAGATGCAGGAGGATGCTGTTGCTGGAGAAATGTGCAGACTGAAGAGGACGAAGGGATGGCCTAAAAGATTTCGTATTCCAAGATTGAAGGCTGACTGAATTGACTTAACTCCCACTGTGGATGGACTTGGAGTTTTAAACTGACAGGATCTGCAGTTGTCCTGCCCCCTTCTCACTCTGATTCTGTCATCCCATTTACAAAACAAAACAGTGATGTAATCCTCCCCTGGTACCGGCGGAGGGAAAAGCTTACTAATGGTACGCCTTTGAATGTTCTCTCCTCCAATGATGCGAGTGCATCAGGGACAGTTGGATCAAACTGATTATACCTGACACATATAGGCTGCAAATACTACAGGAAACCTTTAAAAATGCACTGAAATACACCCGTTCTAAAGCTCCACAATGCACTGTACTTTTTTTAGATAAGCTAAACTCTCTTTGTAAACATGTAAATAACAGCTGATGCTTTTATAGGTGTTTTTTACAGTGTTTGGATCCAGTTTACAGATTTGTGTATGCTTTATTATTACCTGTTGAGGCTGTCTTATGTAGCATTTCACCACGAATGCTGGACCTGTGCATAAAATGCTTTTATGCTGTTTGTGACTACTGAGAATAAGCTCTTTTCTGATGTAATGTTTTTTTGTATAAACTGGGCTCTTTTTATGTCAAATATTTCTAATGAAATTTCAGCAATTATGATAATAAACAATGAAAATGTCCCTCAGGTTGTCTTTAATTGAAACATGCTCCACAAAAACAAACAGAACTATGTTATTCACAAGAAAAACAGCAGCAAAATGGAATGTTATTACCGGAGATGAAGCTGACCAAAAACTTCACATTAATTATAGCTTTCCACTGGTAATCCTGGTTAAACATTCCACTTCATTTAAATAATTACATCTAAATCGAAGTTTACTTTAAAAAAAACATCCCTCACAATACTGATTGTATATTCTGTGCACCGTCATCACAATAAATAATTTTATGACATGATCAGAGACAATATGTCACAAATCAAATGACTGACTTTGATGCTTTGACTCAGAGTGGATAATTAGACTTATGTGCACTACCATTCAGCTTTCAACATTTTTACCACTGCACTGCCCATCTTGCTTCGAAGCGCACTCGAATCCCCTTTGATTCTGTAAATCCTGTCAGAGCTCAGTAGATCTGGAAGTGAGCGGACGTGGTGCCGTCCTTCCAGCACCGCAGGGCCTCGATGACGGTGGAGCGACACAGCGGACACGTTCGCTCGCGGTCGAACCACAAACACAGGCACTCCTCACAGAACACATGCTGTGCAGGAACACAAAGCACAAAGGCTTACCTTAACATGCAGCAAAAAGCACACATTTAAATGCTCAGGTACTTTTTGTCTAATGTGAGGCATGTTTAATATGACACAAGTTCATATAAGTGATAATAAGGGGAGGGTGATATGGATTTAAAGTTTTATCAATATTCTGTGTGATGATAAATGTGACAAGAACAAGTTATTACTTAATGCTCAGGTTACTGTATGGCTGACAGTCCCACAAATACCCTTCTTTAGGACACCAGTCACTTAAAGTATGATTTGTATCACTAAACTGCGCCAGTATCTGCATTTAATCATAGATTTTTTTGTATTTATTTATACTCATTTTTTTCTTACAAAATTGTGGAGAAAATAGTAAAAATTACAATCAAAAAATACACAGTTTGGGGTTTTAAACATGATGTTTTTAAGAATCTATCTATATCATGCTTCTGTTATGCTGTCTACATGAACAAGTGTCCCAATTTCTGACCCAGAAAAAAAAAAAAATCCCCACAGCATGAACCTGCCACCACCATGCTCTGGAGTTCCTCTGTGGTTATTTATAATTTATTGATATCATAGATGTGAAATTGATTTTGAAAATTTGCTCACAAAAATCTGAGGGAGATGGAGAAAATAACGACTGGACTGTGGACATTTGTTTTTCAGTTATTAGTAGCAAAGGATATAAGTAAGCTAAACAAGTATGATGGGTCTGGTTGCCTTAAATATCAGAGGCAGATTCTCTGTAACGGCAGGATGGAGACATTTCCTCAGTTGCACAGATACTGAATTCAGGCACCAGACTAGACACGACTTTTAGAGTCTGAGGGGAAAGAACAAAAGAGGTAGAGGGGAACAATGAAACAGCAACGATGCCAAAAAATGAAAAAAAGAAAAAATATCAATGCAACAGTCCATTTAACCTGACTGAGCTGGAGGGGATGTGTAGAGAAGTACGGTAGAAAATACCAGAAACGGTGTACCACAGCTGTAGATTTATACTTAAAAAGATTTTAGTCTGTAACTGTGACAGAGGTTATTTAGGTTATTTAATAAAGTGTTAAATAATCAACTCGACTAAGTGTTTTTTTTTCATTCATTTTAAATATAATTTAAAATAAATTACATTACAAAACAGCCAAATGAATGTTTTTGCTGTTATCATAGTGTATTTTATGAAGAGTTTGGAAGAAAAATAATGAATTAAATAACAAATAAGGCTGCAACATAAAATACTTTTTAGATGTACTGTAACCTCCAGGTGCAAAGACACAATCAATAGGGGGCGGTAAATCTCTATGTTTTTACTGATGCTTGTCTCTGAGGTGTACATGCATTATTTATTATTCATTAGAGAATTTAACCTTCTTACCTGACAGATGAGAGCAATGGGATCTTTGAAATCCCCCTGACAGATAGCACAGACGTCACCAGCTTCGCTGCACAGCTGAGTGCTGGCCCTGACTCCGTAACTCTAAAGTGGACCAAAAAACCACAATCAATCGACCTGAAACTATGAACATTAATTAATTTCTTTAAATTCCTGTTTAAATGAAAAACGCAACAAACAATAGAATGTTATTAATGGATGTGTGCAGGAAAGTTAAATGGGCTGAGGCTGACCTGGGAGCTGCAGAGCATTACCAGCGCCTTGCGTATTGCAGATAATCGTCCACAAACATCAAAGGACTGCAATTAAAAAGGACAGAGAGTAATTAGTTTTAAACTTTAGTGATCATTAAAGATGCTCACCAGCTGCATGTGAGAATGCTAACAACTGGGGATGTCCAGGTTTTCTGCTGCATTGAGACATTTAAATGTTTATGTTGGCGAAAAACAAAATTACAGATAAGGAGTTGCAGCAGGAATAGATGTGGTAAACTAATACCACTTATCTAAGCAACCTTTTCTAAGAAAGCTTTCTCCTCTGCTATTCATTTCCTCTTTGTTCTCGATTCTGATATGATAAAAATATCAGGTTTGCTTCTGTGTCTGTTTAGATGAGGAGTGAGTACAATTACATAAGTGCTTTAGTTATTCAAGTAAAACTGAAATATTGCTAAAGTATCTCTTGGATGCTGTAAGATAATTTAATCAGCTTTAAAATATGTTATCTGATATTCAGAATACATTATACAACTGAAACTGGATATTTACATACAATGTATATTTTTCTCTTTTTCCTTTATCTCCTAAATTTTAAAACTTTACCTAAGCAGTAAGTCAAGTTGCCTCTTAAACTGTAAGACTTGGGTCAGATTTTGTGCATTTTCTTCCACAAGATTCTTAAAATTGCTTGCTCAAATTTGGGCCCATTGCTCTTGGCAGAATTGGTGTCACTGGGTCAGGTTAACAGGATGTTATGCTTGCACACTTCTTTTCACCTTCACACATTTTCTGAGACCGATTTTTTTGTGACAGTGACTTCAAAATACTGACTTTGTTCTCATTAAGCTGATTTATAAATTGATGATATGGATCATACGGGCCATCTATCAGTGGTCAAGCGTAAACTTTCTGGCCTTGAGATGTTGCTTCAATATTTCTACATTATGTTCTTTCCCTATGATACCATCTAATTTGTGAACTGTATTGGCCAATCCAGCAGAAACGCACCCCCACACAACATGATGTTGTTCCGTATTGTCGGAAAGTGACTCCAAGTTAATTCATGGGAAATTTGTCAATTTGACGATTTTCTTTTATGGTGTGTAAGAAAATCCGCCTTGGGAAGCTGAAATACCTATGCACACCACTACTTGGCACGCTATTGGTTAGCATTAGTAAAGCAGCCAATCTAACACTTGTTCCACTGTGAGTATTAATGCATTTGAACTATTAAAACAGACAGTTGTAAGAATCTTTAGACGGGTTCTCCAGGATTTTAGCTATTGTAAAGGTGACTGTGGTTGCTACTTTTCGAAAATACTAGGGCTCCACAAACATCACAGTCTGAATGTTGTTCTCAGGCTAGCGGGTTTCCCTCTTCCAGCAAATGTAATACTAATCTTTCAGGCCAAAACCTTCAACCTTAGCTTTTTCAGAACACCTGACATGTCTCCAAAAGGGTCTTTGTCCCTGGCTGAATTTCTACACTGCAATGTTTTTTTATGTATGTTTTATGGAGTAATGGGTTATTTCTCTCTGATTTGCCTTTCTTTCTATGATGGTACATGACTTGTTGTACTCTGGACAAATACTCTCTCTTACCAGCTTCTGTCAGCATCTTTACAATGCTGTTGGAGTTGACAGAGACCTGGACATTCAATAACAACATTGAATGTCCAGGCAACTATATGATGCCTGGACATTCCTGGTGCCCATCCTTCTATGTAACTGTTTGAACACATAATCATGGAACACATTCATGCATCTGGAATATTTACCTCGTGGATGAGCCAGACATGGGGAGGTTCACCATGCTCTTCTAATATGTCATTACTTTTGACTTTGTTTCATGATCTCACACAATGAAGCAGTGTGCTTAGGAGTGTTGTCCTAAAATATATCAACAGGCGTGTCTCCATTAGACTCAAAAGTTGGGAATTTTGAATCAGAAGCCTTGATGTTATTTTCTGGGCTTTCCAGATCGCTTACAGGCAAATTCTCTCACTCATTATTTTGGCATTCAGGAAGCATAAATAGTTACGGTCATCCTGGCTGTCCTAAAAGGGAAAAGGTTAGTCAGAAAGTAAAAAAAAAAAGATAATGTCTTTTAGCACAGTGCATGTAAACATCTAGCTTAGGTTGTATGTTTAAAGCTCTTGTTATAATTGTTCACAGACCAAAAGTGAATCAACCTGTCTGCACTTTTTGATGCTTTGCATAAGATAAATGGTCGTTGAACTGCTTCAGGCTTTGCTTTGTCATTTTGGCTGCTCTACCAAGTATAACCAAACTGTTCTGCTGACATTAAACTAAAAGCTAAGCTACATTGCATTATCACTACAATGCTGGAGCCCAAAGATTTCTCATGTGGTTTTCTCCAGCACAAAAAAAACAAAAAAAATAATAAAAAAAAACACCTAGAAGAAAAACAGCCTTCTGTGTGGAGGTTGTTATGGGAAATTAAACAAGAATATAAACCTGGGCCTGTTGTGGTTATCCTCTCTTTACTTTCAGTGCATTCTGCTCACGTCTGCAGGGACCTGTCTGAAATGCTGAATTTGATGAGCAACACAAAAAAAAACCCACAAAATTTTTAGTAGCATTGTAACAGACAATGGTTTCACGGTTTCATTGATTTCATTTTAGAAGTGTCAGAAATTCTATGTTATATTTTTAATCCATAATTTTGTTTTATTTATCCATATAACAAATACTAAGTAATTAGATTTTTCATTTCAGATTCTTAACAATAATGAAGTAATTTTATGTTTTATCTTTTTGGCTACGGTTGAAGTTTGCATCAAGAGTATGCAAACTGATATGCACAACACAACAATTTTCAGATTCAAGTAAAAGAAGTCATGCATCACGTAAATGATGCATGACTTTTAGTGAAGCTTTTTCTTAAGCTAACTTTAAAACATTAAATGTTTAAAGGATATGAGCGCTTTTCCAAACTGTCTGCATTTCTACCACCTAATAAAAAAAACATACAACATTAATATTTAAAACGTTTTGACCATTTCACTTTCAGAGCATTTATTTGAAAATTGCTCGTTTTCTCAGAAACCTTCCTCCCACTCAACTCTACAGCTCCCAGATCTGATTATGTTTATTTTAACTTTATAGTTGTTCAGTTATCTAACTGACTAATACAAAGCTGACTAAACAATACATATGGATCAGCGAATGCTAATATCGAAACACTACTATGCCTTGATATTGGAAAACACCTCTTTCACTGCACAGGAAACTGTCCATCTGATTCAGAGCAGCAGCTGCTGAATCACTGCTTGGACCAAGATGACTGTCATGCACATATGCATGACAATACAAACCCCGTTGTAACAATAACCCTTGCATAATCCAGGGATTCATACGTTCGCGTTTCATGAACTCACCACTCTTAACGGATATTTGACTCAGAGCTTTAAAAATACTTTTAAGTGTCTTTATTTGAACAGAACTAGCTGTGATCTCTTGCTGCAAGTTGGTAACTTCCCCCTGTGTCCCACTTCCACCTCAGAGCATTTCAGTTTGGCAATCCATTCTGGCACTAAAGATTATCATAGATTCTTTAAGGTTTTAGGTCAGATAAGCTTGTTGGTCAATCAAGAACAGAGATGACACAGTCATTAAGACTAGACAGTGACACTGATGGCAGGTGTCAAGTCTGGCTGGAAAACAAAGTCAACTTGTCGGCAGAGGGAAACATGACCGACTCCAATATTTCCTTGTAGGTTCCCAGTGGTTTCACACTCAAGCAACTTTTATTCTGTGCCTATCCACTCTTCCTCCAGACTGTGAGATCTTATTTTTCCTATTTAAATGTAAATTTGATCTCAGGTTTACCTCCAGCAGCCTTCCACGTAATGTGTACATACCACACCTTGGCCATTACGTTCGATTTCTCAATTAAAAGTTCCTTCATGTAATATTTTAATTATCTGAGATTTTGAATGTGGGGTTCCATCATGAATGTGAGTGAATATCCTATGCAACTGTAGTTGAGGATAATTCCAAATCAGGCCTAGTCCAAGTCTCAGACTCAAGTACCTATCCCTGCTTTAGCCTAAAAACGCAGCTGAAATCTAAAAATGAGTGTTTGTACTTCATAAGATTTGCATGCAAAGTACCAAAACAACACCCTTGCTCCCAGGTTCTGCTTACCTTGCAGAGGCTGTAAATGATGATGAGTGTCGCTCCCAGGAAGTAGCTGTTTGACGGGTCTTCGCCCATGATGTACTTGTACCACAGCTGCACTGGCACGAGAGCCCGAAACAGCTGGCTCAGCTCCTCAATCAGAAGGTAGAACTTACCCTGGAAAACCAAACAAAATGAACAACTACTGTGATAGATGAGAAACCCAGAAATCAGACAATATGGATTAGTTAAAGCAAGTTTTTCATAAACTTTTTGAAAATAATACACCAAATTGATAATAGATTTTCTTTGTTTGAGCCGTCAGAAACCCAGAAAGAGCTCAGTAGCTTCAGGGCCTTCTTCTATCTAGTCAAGAGCAGTGTGGTATTAAAAGCTTAAAACAGCACGCCTCCGGCCCAAACATGGCCGCTGTCCAGATCTCAGCAGCTTCACAGCAGTACAGGCAATTTCCCTTCACTGCAAGGGAAACTGGCAGCGCCTCTTTCCACCTGCTACCCCTGTGCCCATTTTAAGCCCAGCCCTACGGGGGCTCGGGAACTGTCTTTAAAGGGACTCCCTCCTAATAATCAGAAAAGAAACACTCTTCTGTCCCTACAGCTACAAAGTGCATTAAGTGAGTTGGGGAGATTAAGGGAAAAAAAACAACAGAGGTGGGTAAATGAAGGTAAACTTGATTCCCCACTGGCCCCTGTGGCATCCCAGCTTGCATAATGACTTCATGCACGGGAGAAGACAAAGATTGATGACTGTGGGTAAAGAGGCACAAGCAGCCAGGTCGGTAGGGGAGAAAGACCTCTGCTAACTGCTAATTCATCTTCCTTATTGTTCGGCTTTGCCTTACGTCCCACAGTGCCAATCATGCCCACGCAAAAACTGTCAAATTTAAAGTTTGGACACAAGCCAGTCACTTTGAGGAAGCTGCACTTCAGGCCCTGTTTGAGTAGTTTCCTGCCTCTTATATTTTGTGTGGTGGGCATATCTGTGTTTTACTTATAAATGCATTGGTTACTAAACAAAGAAACCATGAAAACAAAGCTTTTTTTTTTTTTCTTGTAGGGGAATTAATTTGTGAATCTCACAAAGAAAACTACAACAGCAGAAATGAGTTCAAGTCTCTCCTTGTGGAATCTTAGACACTGTTATTTTGTAATAGTCCAATTTGTGTTTGCACTATGCGTAGGATCGCCTATTTCCACAGGTTTTTCATTCATCTAGATCAAAGTTAATCGTTTCACAAGGATGTAATGGGTTTTTTTTATTTACCTTTACAGGAAACCAGCAAGAGAAAAAATGGCAAATAATGTTGAAGGGCAAATATATTTTAGAGCCACAAAATACATAAATTAAATATCTGAAACATAAATAAATTACAGTAGGCATTCCATTATTATTCAAACAAGAAATTTCTAAAACACTTTAAAAAAAATAAAACATGTGGTGCACTTAAAAAAAAATCTCTCAACAGGGTGTCGATCTGTTTCTCCAAACTACCAATCTGACATTTCTCCCACTCAACGGATCACAACAAATTGTCTTATGTTTTACATTTTTGTAAATATGCATGTAGATTCTGCACTGATGCCCAGATTTTGCTTTGTGGCCCCTCATTGGTTTCATAACTTTTTCATTATAATAAATGCAGAGATAGTAACAATCAATTATGTGTTATGGCAGTGGTGTTTAAAATGTTTTGCCATGTGGGCTGAAGCTGTTAAGTTGAAAGTTCCTCCAGGCCAATAAATTAGATTTTTTTTTTTTTTTAAAGAAAAACATGTTTGTTTTACATGCTTAACACTAAATTAAACAGAATACTTCCATTAAATGCTTGTTAGATTTTTTTCAAGAAAATTAGTCTTTAATTTATGTTACACCTGAAATATAAGAAAGACATAATTTCTAAAATGCTAGGACCAATTTTCATAAAATAAACAGTGGGTGTTTAAACAGTCTGCTTGTTGGCTGAACTGAAACCACTCTTGCATTGCAGTCTGGGGCCACACAAAACCCTTCTGCACTTTGGACACCCTGCACTAAGCGATCACGTGAAATTATTTGCGCAGTAAAAATACTTCGCTTTAATGCAACAAGTAATAAAATTGACACATTGCATTGATCTTTTTAAAGCGGATATGTGCTGACTGCAGTCATTCGTTAGATCTTTAGTGAATCCCTGGGTTGTGTGCAGTAGAGAGATTTAAACACTAATAATGAGCTTTCATGAGGTTTAATGTAGAAGACCTTACAGAGGATTTCTAATATATATATATATATATATATATATATATAAAATGACCTGATACAACAATTTGGGATTTTCCAACACTTAAACACTCCTTTGTATGCTTTTAAACCCTGTATGTGTGCACGTGTGTGTGTGTGTGTGTGTGTGTGTGTGTGTGTGTGTGTGTGTGTGTGTGTGTGTGTGTGTGTGTGTGTGTGTGAGTGGAGGAAACAGGTAATGGTCCAGCTCCAGGGAGGGATGACCTCACCCCTGTAACTCCCTCGTGGCTAAATGAGCTCAGTTGCTTGCTGAAGTGGTTCTGATATGCCTACAGGTTTGTTTATCAGTGGAAAATTTAATCCTAATACTTTTTACCACCCCTCTCCTCCCTGCTACCACCGTCTACCGAGCACACAAACACACACCAACAGAAAGAATGGCACCTGTATGGAAATCAACGTGAGTGTGTGTCTGCAGACATGTTCCTTTTGCCTCAGGCTAGAGGAAAAGTCTCAAGCAGACATCAACATGAAAACAGCACACCTAAGGAGCACCATTTAAAAAGCTTATGAATACAAAACAGCTTCACACTGTGACCCTTTAGCACTTTCTTTACTCAAGGGAGAATTTCATCATAGTTTAGAAATTTTCTTTTTTTCACATTTGTGAACTCTTCACTGCTTGAAATGTTGAATTTAAGTCTTTGTCTTTAGAAGGTGAAGTAAAGAGTTCGCTTATGTGCAGATGTGTTTGAAAGTTGAAAATCCACTGCTAAGCGGATTAACAGAGATATACTTTTTATTGTTAAGCTCAATCAAAAAGCACTGCAGTTACATTAAAATGTATGGAAATTTAAACTGACTCCAGACAGATTCTTAGCTATTTAATATCACACCAGTTAGGTTTTGCTTTCAAGTTAATAGGAGTATAAACAAAATTGAATTAAGACAAACTAGCAGGAGTGACACACTATTAAAGCAATTTTTTATCATTCTCATTTTTTATTATGATAAATAATTTGTGAGCTACAATACATGGTCTGCATCTTTTCTGAACTAAACTAAATGAATATAAAATCTGCAAAGAAACAGCCTCCAAGAAGCTGTGCAGAAGAAGTCATAAATGTACAGAAAAATCAGATAACTGAGGAGGATTTATTTTTCTTCTTGGAAGTGGAAACAATAAAACAACGGTCCTAAAAACTGTTTTCATAGAAAAGCAAGCTTCTTTTCTTACTCTCTTTGTTTACCTGCCTGAGTCATTTCAAAACATAAGACATGTTTAATGCAGACAATTGTGCTCACACTAGCTATATTCTATTTAAAATAAGTTATGTGCTATACTAATATTAAAGGGCTCTTACCCTTGACTTGAAGGCCATGATAATCTTGGGCAGGAAGAGGATGAAGCACTTCAGGCCGATGGTGACATATTTAAGTACAAAGTCTGTGATTCCAACCACCCAGATCAGATCAAAGAAGTCAAAGCTGTTGAGACTTGGCTTTGCAAATATGAGACTAGGGAAAAACAACAACATTGAGTTAGACTACATGTGGACAGTTATTTTTTTGTCTTTTTTACTCAGCATGGTTCATTTAGAAACAAGATCAATGAAAAACGAGAAGCTTAACATAAGAAAACAAAACCTTCAAACATAAAATACTCACAGAGCATGACCGACAAAATCTGTAACACTCCCTAAAGGAAATGGAAGTGAAAATAAAACACACCATGATGGAATAACTTCAAAATAAATCAACATAGGATGGTGGATGAACACACACAGAGCTCCTACAAAAGCACTTCAGCTCCCACTGACCTGTGGTGCAGCTCCTCATGGCTGAACGTGTAGTAGATGTACACGATGTTTCCCCCGAGAAACAAGATGATCCACAGAGCAACAAGTATGGACCGCTCCTCCTTAAAGAAGTAGGCAAAAGTAACGGGGAAAATGTAGCTGAATTAGCACTGTGCCTTTTAGAGACTCATTAAGAAATTTGCAAAAGATCACTAGTTTTCAGTATAATCAGCCCAAGCCAGGAGAAAGATGGTTAGAAACCCAACAATCACATCATTTTCTGACCAGATAATGTTCCATACAAGGAATGCTAACAATGACACTCTTCGGTATGGATGCTACTACTGAGGGAAGAAGACTCAATGTTGGCAATCTTCTGTATTAGGAAAACTTGTGGAATTTTCTGAGTCAAATAAATGCTAAAGATGGTGAAAAAAAACTCCGCTTGTATTTGTTTTAAATTGTTAAAACTATAGTTTATCGGTTAAGGTACATTGTGTACATTAAGCACATGGAACCTGCTGTTGCCAGCAGTACAAACACATCCACCTTATTATTTTCTTGGTGCATCAAGACTGAAGCTTTTGTAAGAAAAAGTAAGACTTTTCTTTACAGATTCTCTTACCCTCAATGAAACTTGATGCTTGAATGTAGAGTTGGCGTAAGCAAATGTGCTAATCATTCCCACACACACAGCGATACCTGCAAAGAAAAGAAGCAACATGGCCACTAAACATAACCATCTGTTGCTACAGACCGTTTGTTGGTAATACTGCTGTAGATCAAAAAAAGATTTCAATATCGAAATACCTAGCTTGTGTTGAAAGCAGACTTTAGCCAGCAGAATGAGGATAAATGGAAAGCCCCTCTGCAGCCATGTAACCACCGCCTTCAGCTCGGACAAAGCCGGAGCCGGGGTGGACTGGTCGTCCTGTCCCTCCTCCCTGGAGCTGTGCCTTTCGGAGCTGGCTGCTGTGGTGGCCTGCTGGAGCAGTGAGGATGTCCTGTGCTGCAGGGGCTGGTGGTGAAAGTGGTGGTGGTGATGGTGGTGGTGTGGGGGCGGCCGGGAGAGGAAAGGGCCACCCTCTGCTCGATGGCTGGCTGCTTCTTCCCTGGAAGACGCAGTCATCTGGATAAAAACTTCAGGGGGAGAGCCTAGGACTAAACCAGCTGCTTGCAACTGAGCAGATGAGACGGAGCTGGAGGGGATGCCCACCAGGCCGGAGAACATCTGCTGGGGTGAAGTGGACGAATCGGGCTTCAGGCAGTCAAACACGCCACCCTCATCCAAGCTGCTCTCCGACCCCAGTGTTTGGCTTCGAGTTCTAAGTTGAAACAAATGCAGTATAAAACAATTACTGTTTAAAAAACACTTTTCCTCTTGCATTTATGAAATTAATTGGCTAAAAATACATTTAACAAATCAGATTATCCTACGTACAACAATTAGAAAAACAATCTGAAAGGAGGAGTGATCCAATATTCCTCTGGGTGATGTTAAAGACTGCAAATTCCTGATCTCAGTTGTCGCAGCTAACAGCTAACAATTAGTTATTAGGTTTTGAGCACAAATACTGTTTTTACATAGATGGTTTGGATAGCTTTTATTCCCCGTCAATGAATGAAATCACCATTTGAAAACCGCTTTCTGTGTCTGTTTGGGACACTATTGTCAAATATCAAAATTAGTTTTATGATCTGAAAATTTAAGATTTTGATCATGCTAACGGAGAAATATCCTGAAAAACACCAGTATCTTGAATGTTTTGGGACATAAAATGTGTGGAATAAAAGGTTAATTCAACCATATCTATGTTGTGGTGAAGACATTTTAAAGAACCATGGTGAAGGTAACTAAATATGTTTGAAAGGGTAAATCTGACAAGTTTGTACAAATGACAGGATAAGGAATGCCCCAAATGACATAATATCACAGTTTTTAGCGTGTATTCCTAAAAATGTAAACATAGCAACCCATGAATAAGATGCACACTGATGAGTAATGCATTATGTTAAAGAAAAGCCTCTTAATTTCAGTACTCATCCCACTGAACATCAATTTTGCATATTGGGCAGCTACTAGAACAAGATCTTGAAAATCGACCATCTTTGTTCCTTAATCAGGAATAGTAACAGAAGTTGTCAAGACCACCAAGGCAGACTAAACAATATAACGGTGTGGATCGCAGCGTCCTAGATGTCCTTTTCTCCCACCTTTCAGAGGACATGCCATCCGTGTTGCTGCTGTGTCTCCTCTGCATGGCATCACCACATGGCCCAGCCCTGAAAAGGTAAATACAAAGCAACATGGCTATTAAAGCTCATTTTTAAGGCCTCCAGCTTTACTTAGTGCATTTAATAGTTGCACGACTAGCCTACATGATTACTTTACCTGCGTTAGCTTCGTGAATTACCCTTCTGTTTCAGCTGCTGTCATAGTTAGCATGGAAAGCTCTGACTCGCTGGATGGATGATGGTGGCGATGATGCTGAGGATTTACTGCTGGGAAAACTTCCTGTATGACATCAGAGCACATCCGTGTTTGGGATTCGTGTTGATGTTGTTGACAGCTAGATGTCAGATTTCGCAGAAAAACGTAACTGTTGCTGCTATTAATGCTGGAAATTTCCGAGACGTCGCCGTCGGTGCAGATCAAAACGTCACTATTAGGAACCGTTAGCATTGTCTCATTGGAACTGCTCACCAAAACACTAATGTAATGCTAACAACAGCTAGCTAGTTAGCAAGCTAACAAAAGCGAGCTTTTACGATGAAGCACGGTTAGCTTACCTTTCTATCTTTTATTTTTATTTAGTCACTACATAATTTTAATTACCAGCTCCTCGGGAAGATTCTGTCCGTCTAAATTAAATGGGAAAAGCTTAAAAGCGCAACATGGGTTAGCTAAAAATATGCATGGAATCCACTGACAGATCAGGTTGACATTAAGTCAGCAGGCAGCTCAGGTTTTGCACCTTTTGTCGCATCGCTTTTAGTTTCTCGAAGACAGTCGGGGGACTTATACCTGAGGAGGAGGATTGATGGTCTGGACTGGCACCTGCAGAAAGTCAGAAAAGTCATGCTATGATGTTGGTGCTACGGAGGTTACTGAGGAAGCGCTGGGTGTTGGGAGTTGTCTTCGGATTGTCCCTTATCTACTTCCTCACCAGCACACTGAAACAGGTACACACACTCACACTTCACCTGAGAAAAATGGGCTGACCTTCTGCAGAGGTGAGGGGATGGTTTCGGCAGGGATGTACAATCCTGGCCACATTTATTGTTGGCAATCCAGGTACAGATGTACAAAAAGCTTTAAAAACCGTCTTTTGCAGTAGGATGTATAGGTTATATAGTATAGTTTGATTAAATCTATTAATTGCTGACAAAAATGTCTATGTTGGCAAATAGTCTTTCCTATAGGTCACTATTGTCACAATTAAAACAGGGTTGTCCTTTTCTACTGCAGGCCGCATGAAGCTAGGAACTCTAAATTAGTTAATGTCTTCTTATATGTTGTCAGTAAGTTAGTAGAAAAATATTTATATCCTATATCTATTTGTTTTCTTGTGCATTTTATCACTCACCATTTATTTATAACATTAAAAAGCAGCTGCATGGTTGCACAGTTGGTAGCACTGTTGCCTGGCAGCAGGAAGGTTCTGCATTTGAGTCACAGCTTGTGGTCTTTCTGCATGTAGTTTAGAGTTTATTCAAAGTACTGGAGATTCCTCCCACATTTAAAAACAATTAGGTTAAATTGTCTAGCCAATTATCTCTGCACCAGCTATTAGTGAACTTGTTAGAACAAGTGGTAGAAGCCAAAGGAAGGATGTTCTGAAATAGAACCAAAAGGAAAGATAAACTAAACAAAATCTTAAACTAAAAAAAAAATAAGCAAAATCTGCTTGTGAAACTAAGCAAACTTTTACTTTTTGGTTAAATGTGTTGAATATAATGCCACGTTGTTCACAGAAACATATCTGAGTCAAGACACAGTCTGCTCTTGTGTCTTTATTTTGGTTTTCTGGATTCTAGATGACAGATTTTCTATTGAAATACAAATTTAGAAAAACGTAAAAATCAAAACTGAACATGTGGGAATAATTAAAAAAACAAGTCTATAAAAATGTCAATTTTATTGTGAGTTAGACTTTGCAGAACTTGATAGGTTCAGACAATGAAAAACTGTTCTGATGGATTTCACATTCCAATGTGAAGAGACATGCATCTATTCAGCTTTTTTTTATGCATTTTTCTTTTCTTGGATGCAATTTTTTTTTTTTTGACCTCTCCTTGCTTGGATTTTGCAGGAGGAGAGATCCATTCGGGACCGCACACTGTTAGAAGTTAAAGATTCAGACCATCGCATCCCCTGGAAAGTGCGTTTCAACCTGGGTAACAGCAGCCGTCAGATTACTCAGTGTCGAAACTCCATTCAGGGCAAGATATTACTCACAGATGAACTTGGTAAATAATGTGGCCATTACGTACTATCACTACAGTGATAACATCAGCTTTTACTTATAATCAATGCTTATGCTTTCCTGTGTTTGACAGGTTATGTCTGTGAGAGAAAGGACTTGCTGGTTAATGGCTGCTGTAACGTCAATGCTCCCAGCACCAGGCAGTACATTTGTAAAAGTTGCCTGGCCAACGGCTGCTGCAGCATCTATGAGTATTGCGTGTCTTGTTGCCTCCAGCCTGATAAGGTAATCTGTCACATCAGGGCTCTACAAGATAAGGGTTAATAACCGCGACAAGAAACTTGGTTAATAACTGCAATGTGAAGCTGTTTGCACCTTTTTTTCAACATAAACTTTTAAGAAATGTTCGTAAAATGTAAGCATTCTGTTTCTACTTTTATCAAAGTCGAATATGATTTTGCATTATCTATGGGATTGTGCAAGACAAAAAACCTCAATAGTTTATCTGCTCATCTTGTGTCTTCCATTTGACCCATTTCTTATCTGTGTATTTTTACCTAGCAACCTCTTCTAGAGCGCTTCCTGAATCGTGCAGCTAAAGGTTTCCAGAATCTTTTTACGGCCGTGGAGGATCATTTTGAGTTGTGCCTGGCCAAATGTAGGACTTCTTCACAAGTACGTTATGATCCCAGTAAAGAATACTGTTGTAAAACTT